CATATTCCTTATAAAATTAGTGTTGTGATTTTCCTTGAAATAAAAAAATATAACAATTCAGTAAACTTTTTTTGTAATCCAATGGCTACATTATGAAATGGTAATTTCTTCTCTAACATGTGTAAAGGAACTAATGAAAAATTAAAAATGTGAACAGATGAAGTTTGAAAAATTAATGAGAACTTAACTGAATATAACACAATGCATCATAATGCAAATACAGTTCATGGTAGGAAGAAATATGAGAATAACTCTCTTCATATGATTTTGAAGTCATCAAGGAGTCAATATAATCTTCTACAGTATCTTTGGCTTTAATTGTATGACCACGTAGTTGAACAATCAGCCTTCAAAAGCTGCTTCCTTCCAAGGTAGGCAGTAAATATATATGCTGAGTATACTGTTTTCTAAATATCAATTTGTTAATCTGGTCAATACAGTGTTTTTCAAGTTTTCTATATCATTAATAAACATTTTATCTAGTTTATCAATTATTGAGACTGAAGTGTTAAAATCTCCAATTATAGTTTTATAAACTTTTAAGTTTATGTAATTTTAATTTTCCTTTAGTTCTGCAGGGTTTTGCTTCTGTTATTCAGGTGTATAACAAATATGAGTATTATATATATTCTTAGTGTTTTTCTTTAATATTAGTAATACGCTTATCATGAAATCAACTTTGTCAGGAATCTATATTGCTACTTAAACTTTGTAGTTTACATAATGTGTTTTTCCAAAATTTAACTTATCTGTGTCTTTTATATTTAAAGTGCATTTCTTTTAAGCAGTATATAGTTGGGTTTTGCTTTTTAAAAAATCCAATTTGATAATCTATGCATTTTAACTGAAGTGTTCGGTTAATTCATACACAATGAAATTATTGGTGGCAGTTGAATTTAAAACTATCATATTACCACTTATTTTATTTGTCCCATTTTTTTCTTATTCCTTTTTTTACTCCTTTTTTGCATTCTGTTGGCTTCAGTATATGCTTTCAGTAATTTCTTTACCCGACCTTCAGCTATATCATTAAAAAAATTTTAGTGGGTTGCTTTAGGGATTAAATATGTAACCAGAACTTGTTGGTATATACCTTAAAAATATTATATAGGAGCATTCAAGATCTTGCTTCCAAGCATGTCATCAGTTTGGCTCAAATAAACTCTTTTTTATTTTTAATTTTTTTCTTTATTGATTAAGGTATTACATATGTGTCCTTAGCCCCCCCCCCCCAGCCCCATTGTCCCCACACACACACCCCTACTTATGCCCTCACTCCCCACCCCGGTCAAATAAACTCTTATAAAATTTGGAAAAATAGATTATATAGTACATTAGGTTATTTTAAAAACTTTACAATAATACAATTATACTTAGTACCCTCCTGTTCACTGTGTTATTCTTGGGATATATTTTATTTCTACATATGTCTTAAATACAAAAATATATTGTTATAATACATACATTCATCAGTTTCTTTTAAAAAAACAGAGGAAATGAGAAAAAAGTCTTTCATATTAACCCACATGTTTCCCATTTCCAGTGTTCTTCCTTCTATTATGTTGATACTAGAGGCCTGGTGCATGAAATTCATGCATGGATAGGGTCCCTAGGTGATTAGGACCAATTGGGGCCTTCCTTTGTTCTGCGCTGCCCCCCTGGGGGTCAGTACACATCATAGAGAGAGATTGAACTGCCAGTCTCCTGGTTGAACTCCCAAGGGGACACTTTGCATATTAGCCATATATCTATATCTATATCTATATCTATATCTATATCTATATCTATATCTATATCTATATCTATCTATACACACACACACACACACACACACACACACACACACACACACTAGAGGCCTGTTGTACAAATTCATGCACCAGTGGGGTCCCTCAGTCTGGCCTGTGGGATCGGACTGAAACTGGCTCTCCAACATCCTCCGAGGGGTCCCGGATTGTGAGAGGGCATAGGCCAGGCTGAGGGACCCCACTGGTGCACGATTGGGGCTGGGGAGAGCTGCAGGAGGTTGGCCAGCTGGGGAGGGACAGCGGGAAGGCTCAAGGGCGTGTCTGACCCATCTCGCTCAGTTCTGATCGGCCAGACCCCAGCAGCAAGCAAACCTACTGGTCAGGGTGTCTGCCCCCTGGTAGTTAGTGCATGTCATAGAGACTGGTCAACCAGTTGGCTGTCTGCCCCTGGTGGTGAGTGCACATCATAGTGAGTGGTTGAGCAGCTTTGGCATATCATTAGCATATTACGCTTTGATTGGTTGAACGGCTGACCGGTTGACCAGACACTTAGCATATTAGGCTATTATTATATAGGATAGATGAGTTATCATCTGGTATTATTTTCCTTAAACTTGAAGAGTTTGTTTTAACGATCTCATGGGGTAGGTCTGCTGGCATCAAACTTCTTTAGCCTTTGTTATCTAAAAATGCCTTTATTTTGCTCTTATTGTTGAGGAACTTTTTTTGCTGGATATGGAATTATAGATTTAATGCTTCTTCAATAATCTAAAAATATTCTATTGTCCTCTGGTTTGCATTGTTTCTTATACCACCAGTTGTCATTTTCATTGTTCTCCTATATGCAACCTATGTTTTTTCTCTTTGTACTTTTTAAGGTATTCTCCTACTCTTCATCGTTATGCATTTGACAACATGACAATTTGACAATGAGCTTATGCGTAGTTTTTTCTGTTTGGGTTTGTTTGAAAGATATGTATGTATATATTTTTTTAAATCAAATTCAGAAAATGTTTGGCCATTGTGTCTTCGAAGATTTTTTTCTACTCCAATATCTCTTTCATCTTATTTTAGATCTTCAATTACACAAGATATTGTTCTTTAAGTCATGGAGCTCTGTTTATTTTTTTCAGACTTTTTACTCTTTATGTTGTTTGGATAGTTTCTAGTGTCCTACTTCAAGTTCATTCATTTCTTCCACACTCTCCATTTTACTGTAAGTCATCCAATGAATTCTACATTTTAATCAAAAGAGTTTTCAGATATAGACCTTCCATCAGTTTTGGGGGTTTTTATAAAATAGATTTATTTTACGGCTGGGTTTCCAGATCTGTCCACATATTACATCCATATTTTAATTTACATCCTTAAAATATCTATAACATTTTGTATAGCTGTTGTCTTTGTTTTCAAATTTTATTTTGACTGCTTTAGATCTGGGCATGTGAAAATTTGTTCTAGTTTCTGGGTCTGTAAAAATGAAAAGCAATCCATGTATTAAGATATCCAAGACTCTGCTGGTGCATCTTACCCACTGGAGTTGAGATGAAAAGGCTGCCAATTAGGGCTGTCAACAAAATTTTACAAAAGTTATTTGACTTGAATTAAAGAGTAGACTTTGGTACAACTGGTCATAAAAATACAGACAGGAATTAGCATGGTATATTGTTATTCTTGATGGAATGTGTAAAATTGGAGATTCACAGAGAAAAATAGAATCAGATTATGGAATGTCTGAAAAGTTTGGCATATACTTTTATAGAAAATAAGAAACCACTGACATTTTATAAGGTATGAGGAATAGCACAATAAAGGAAAATCGTTCTACTGATTTTCCTTTTTTGTGATCTATCCTGTACTCAGAAATACAGGCTAGATCGTTGTCTACATATGAAACATTGGAAGCATAAAAACAAAAGATTCCCATCAAAAGTCGAAGTATAGTGGATATGGACTTTTTTTTTTTATGAGTTAGTAATTCAACAAAACCCTATTCCCTGGAAAATATATATAAATGTTTTTAGAGAGTAATTGCAGCAGAGTTAGTTGTAAAATTTGGCATTCATAAAAATCCAGTCTTCCATAAAGCATGATCCATGAGAAAGATAAAATTGCAGGCCTATCTGCACAAGCACACTATTGCTATAGGAACAATTTGATTACAATCAGCAAAAAAAGGAGTGTTTACTGGTAATGTTAATTTTGTGCTGAGGCGGGAACAAGACATGAATTTAGGGCTCTACGTTTGTGATACTAACGTGTGGTTTGGCTTCTCTGAAAACTTCAGTATGGGAAAATAAGAAATTAGAGCAAGAATTCTGATAAATGAACTTGGGTTGCTCTTTCTTAGGTATAGAATATATGACTCACTTTTTATCACATGGCACCAAGTGTATTGTTTTATTAACTTGATTTTGTTTCAAATCCGATTGTTCTCTATGATTGAAAATTTAAGTGTTTGTCTGTGAAAGACACAAGCCATATATAAGACAAATCCCATGAACCTGGAAAATCAGTCAAGTAGTAGGAAGGGTCATATCTGCTTTAGCATAAAAGACTCCAAGAATTTTGAAACTGTCACCGTGCTATTGTTGTTTGCCATAAATAACAAGATACAGCATTGTCTCTGAGAGCCTAAATTAATGCTCTTTGAAAAAGTGTTGAGAAACATGTTAGAAGATTGTAAAACTGAGTTGTTGGCCAAGCTGTGGGTGGTTGGTAAGATCAGGTGTCGAGTATGAACGTTAAAAGGAAAGGACTTCCTCTTAGCATTCAGAAGGGTGAAGGGATTGGAAAGATGGAGGGAGAAGGAAGGTTTTATGAAGGTGATGACTGATGAGCTAGACCTGGAGGACAGGCAGTGCTGGCTGAGATAGGGAATTCAACTCTCTAAAATGTTTTGAGAGATAAATATTTAATGAAATTTTGTTTTCTGGTCAGATTTTTCTTCCAGGTAATTATTTTTGTATTGCATTTTGACAAAGACTCTCCCTGTGATGAAACCTGAGGCCAGGCACCTCTCCCCTCCTGTAAAACCCCAGGGGTCTCTTGAACAGTCTTCCCTACCCGCCAATCTCAGGTCCGGGGGAGCATCTTGCGCCTGCGCACATCGCAGTCATACCCGCCAGAAGGGGGCAGGCCAGGATTTTCTTTCCTCCGCGCCTGGGTTCGGTCACCCCTCTTCTCTGACCTAGCCTGTTGCTGAGCTCCGGCCGGGATACGCTTCCTTAGCAACGGGTTGCCCGTGGCAACAGGAGGACGCGAACAGGTAGGCTTGGTTTCCCCGCCGCTGGCCGTCGGAGGCCCAGGCTGAACCATGTCGGAGATCTTGTGCGAGTGGCTCAACCAAGAGGTGAAGACGTCCCAGACCGTGAGTGAGTGTCACAGCCCCGGAGAGCGGGGTAGGGCCGAGCGGGCCCCGCCGATGGAAGGCGGCGAGGCTGGCGCGAGCTGCGCAGGTGGGGCGCCTGTGTAGGGGCCCCTCTTCTTTCGCCCCAGACACGGCCAGGCTCCCCCCAGCCCCACGGTGCCATCCCTGGCCTGCTGTGTTGGCAAGCCCACGAAATGTGTGTGTCCTGGACCCTTAGCAGTGCCTTCTCTGAGTGTGTTGCCTCCAGTGTAAAGTAGACCCCAGGCATCCTCTCCATACACCTGCCATCAGGTGTGAGATAATGCAGAACATGTTGACATGTACACACTTCGCAGGTTCGGCCCCACATTTACAGACATTAGCTGACGACTGTTTACTCTTGCCCAAAGCTAACTTTATTCTACCCTGACTTCATTCCCAGCCATGCAGTCGCCACCCAAAGTCTCTAAATCTCACAGAGGCGGCTTTACATGCTGGCATCTGTGAGAGCCAAGGAATCGCAGCTCAGCAGCTCAGCGCCATGGTCCCTCTCAGCATCTTTCTGTTGTTTCAAAAACAGGCGTTTGTTTTCCAGCTGGGATTGTTTTGGCTCAAGGCAAGAGGTTCTCAGCCCAAACCATTTCAGGCTGTTTTCCCAGAAACACCCTTGCATAACACCAACTTGCTACCTCTCATTGAACACTTAGGCACTTACATCGGACCCTGTGCTAAGCCCTTTATGTCGATTTTCTTATTTAATCCTAAAAACAAACAAACAAACAAAAAACCCTAAGAGACATTGTCCCGGGTGTACCGATGAGTAAAAGGGGCTGAGATGAGAGAGCGTGGAGATTTGCTCAGGGTCGCACAGCTAGAATTCGAAGCTAGATCTTTGACTTGTGCTCCTCGGCACTATCTTGTACAACTTTATATGTAGGGAATATATTTTTAAATAACCCAGCTCCCAGCTTCTTATTCATGTGAGCTCCTTTTATAGGAATCATTGTTCAATTTGAAGTCACAAGAAATACAGAGACTCATCCACCGAGGCCTGTTGTACCTTCACAGGGCATAACCTAATTCCTCGATGTTTAGGTGCCAGCGGTAGACTTATTAGCGTTTGTTTAGAAGTGATTCTGTCTTTATGTTACTTGCCGGGACGAAGAGAACAGGAGAAGAATGCCACAGGAGTGCACGTGCTTCCTTGACGAGGTTGAATAATGGTTCAGTCATTTTTCAGAGGCAGCTATAGTCCGTTGATTTCTGGATCATTCTGAAAGGCAGGAGTCGATTTGGATATTGACCTCTGTGTTGCCTGGACTGCCCTGAATATCAGCTGTAAAAAAAAGAATTCCAATGATTTTTAACTGAGAAATCTCCCTCCTCTTACCGGAGGGAGGTTTCTGGAGTCACTAGGAACTTGTGAAGTCCCAACATATGAAGATTCACATCTATGTTACCAAAGCTAAGGATCTTCAGTGAGTTACATGTAACCCGACCATTTCCCCTAGAAAATGGTGCTCAGATGTGTATGTTAATGAAATGTCTTAGAATACACAAAAGTTGCTCAACACAAAATGACACCTGAAATTCAAGCAATTATTTTCATAATGAAAAACAAGTAATGTAATGTTACTAAAGAATTTGCTGTAAAAAATGTTAAGGACACTCCATTATTTTCAAAAATAAACATTGGCTCTGCTTTACAAAACTCTTATGAAGTCATCATAGGAGGAAACTAGCATCAGAATATTCTCCACAAAAAAAGTGAACATTCTTAATAATTGAGTAGAAACCTTTGAATTCCATGTACTGTACCAGTCAGATCCTTTGTAAAGATGGATGTACAAGATAGTCCATGCTCTTTTGGATTCTGGGTGTGGCTATGTTGAAAATTTTGCAGTATCCAAAATAGAAATAATAATCTCTAGGTCCCCATTTTATACCTAAAGTAAGAATAAGAATTGCTATGTAGTTGGGAGGGTATTAAATGAGGTTGCAAATGAAAAATACCTACCACAGTTCTTAATATCTACTACATTAAGATACTAAAAAAATATATTATCTCAACAATTCTTCTGTCTCTCACTTTATGTTAATGCTTAGTACAGTGCCTGTCATGTGGTGGCATTTAGTAAATAATTGTTTATTACCTGAAAGTCTGCAAGGGAGACAAGAGTATAGGCTGAATCTTATGGATTTGTTCATCTTGAGAAGGTCACCCTGGAAACATTGACCCTCAGCTTTGTGAGTTCAGAAGCTGTTTTATTATTTTAAGCAAGTTCTTGGGAATTGTGTCCTACTAACTGAAATCGCATTTTCCTGATTTTATAAACCAGGGGACCAATTTATCATGAGGAAATGATAGCGGAACAACCGATCCTGGCAGTTGAGCAGTGCACCATCTTAATGGGCGGGTGCACTCGGGAGAAGAGCAGATTTATAGATCAGATTGCTCACTGACAATCAGAAATTAGGTATTATCAACAGAGCTCTCAAATTAAGCTAATATTTGATTTATTTTACTTATCTGCTCCACAGATATTGTATCTACATAGTTGTGACAGGTTAGATTAGATTAGGTTAGATTCTATTAGAGTCAGATTCCTTCCTTCCTGTCCTCCTATTTCTCCTCCCCCTTCCTCCTCCTCCTCTTCTTTCTCCTCCTCCCCCTCCTCCTCTTTTCCCACCAGCGCAGGAAAAACTCTACTCTACTTTTCCAGTGTCACTACTACTACAAAAGTTTCTGAAATTACAATATTTGTCTATTCTTTCATCGCAGCAAATCTCTATTCTTAATAAGGTTAATTAATATATCCAAAGATTATAGTTTACATGATATGTAAAAAAAATTAAATAGATACAGTTATAAGAGATAGGCTGTTAATTTTTTTGTATAAGTGAGTTTCCATAGGTGGCTAATTTTGTTCTTTCATATTAAATCTTAGTAATTTTTGTTTTAGAGAGTGACATTTTTTACTATTTGCATTCTTTACTTGAGTCTCCTTGTGCACTACCTAGACTTTGTTGATTAGGTCTTATGTCAAGACCTTTTCAAAAGTATCAAATTTTATTTTTTAAAAGGAGCTATTAAAATATTTTCTAGACTATTTTCTAGACGATTTATATACATTTTATAATATACTAGAGGCCTGGGTGCATGGATTCATGCACCGGTGGAGTCCCTCAGCCTAGCCTGCACCCTCTCGCAATCCGGGATCCCTCAGGGGTTGTTGGACTGCCGGTTTTGGCCTATCCCTGCAGGGCCTATGGGGATCGGGCTGAAACCAGCATTCCGACATTCCCTGAGGGATGTACCAGTGTGTGAAGCAGCTGGGAAGGAGCCTGAGCCGGGGCAGGTGCCTCGCAGCTCCCGCTCATCCCAGCCCGCTGCACCTACTGCTGCCACCTCTGCTTGCTGCTCGGTAGTGCTGCCATGGAGGCAGGAAAGGTTCCTGCCGCTGTAGCTGCAATCGCCAGCGGTGAGCCTGGCTTCTGGCTGAGCGGCACTCCCGCTATGGGAGTGCACTGACCACCAGGGGACAGCTCTTGCATTGAGCATCATAGCGGTCACTTTAAGCTTTTATATATATAGATTGTGGCGGCTATTATTGGCCTATGATGACCTTACCATATCAAAGATTCATAGAACTTGAGATCTGAAAAGGAATCTCAGACATCATTTAATTCTTCTTTGGCATATAAGATAATAAATAAGATATGTTTAGAGATTTGTTTAGGGTTATACAGCTTGGTAGTAGAAAGTTGGCAGTAGATTCTGAGTCTGCTGACTTTGAATTCATTCCTCCTATAATCTGGTGTCACTAAACCACACATCTTTCTCACGCTTCACCCCTCAGAGTCATTAGGAAATATATTGCTCCTCACATAATACCACAGATTTTGATACTTTCTGGCTAGCTCAGCAGCATTTCCCTTCATTAAAACTTGGCTTCTTTGGACTAGAGATTGAGACAGCAAATCTAGGAACAGAAGGCTGTTGCGTAAATCAGTTTCAAAATTTTAAGGTAGGAAGTTTCAAGAAAAGAATGTCGCCCGAAGTGTAAGCCATGAAAGGAGGATATAATAACACAGAGACTGCATTTTGAACAGTAAATCTTGGGACATATGATCAAGTCTTCAAAGGAGAAGATTGGCCATCCTGTTCTCACACTGGAGGAAAATAAACGGCCAGTCTCCTCTGTAAGGCCGCAGTACACACCTGTAGTTGAACAAAGTCAGGTTTTTTGTCCGGTTGACAGCGTGGGGCATCTCAGTGAGAGGGTGTGAGAAAGGATTTAAAGCATTTGTACTTGCGTTAGGTGTTTCTGAGGAGGGTTCAAGGAAGTGGCGCTTTGCTCTGAGTTCCATACTGTCAGAAGCATAGGCATCTGTATGGCAGGGCACCTTCATAAATCTTATCCAGGAAGTGGAGAGAATAAAGTGCCACAAAGTCACGACTGGTAAAAAAGCAGCAACATGCCTGGCCGGTGTGGCTCAGTGGTTGAGCGTCGACCCATGAACCAGGAGGTCACTGTTCGATTCCAGGTCAGGGCACATGCCTGGGTTTCAGGCTTGATCCCCAGTGGCGGGTATGCAGGAGGCAGCTGATCAGTGATTCTTTCTCATCATTGATCTCTCCCTCTTTCTCTGTCCCCTTCTCCCTTCCTTTCTCTGAAATCAATAAAAACATTTTTTTTTTTTTTTTAAAAAAAAGCAGCAACCCCTCATAATGGGAAGATTAATGGATGTTTGGTCATTATTGTGTTTTGGACAACTTTGTTTTTGTCTGAGTACAAACATGATTACAGAGGGATTTTGTTCTCGTCTTGATCCATCAGCATCTCAGAGTGGCCTTGTCTGGCGTTGGTGTGCTGTGAACCTGATTATGTTTGGCAGGAGAATGCCAAGGCCTGGCCCTGAGGGCCAGCCAGTGCCTAGGAACACCAAGGCCTGATGAGACCAGGCCGGTTCCCCGTCTTCAGCAGCTGCTCTTCTCTCTCTCAACTAAAAGTAAACTTGCTTGACTTTTTAAATGTGATTGATAATGCAGGCGGGAACGTTGCTCTTCTATTACAGGAAGAGTGAAGGCCATTGAGCATAGAATGGATAGGTCTACAGACTCTTATACACAAGTCCAACACCCAAATGTCTCTTTATTCATTTGGTGGCGAACCTTGACCGGAAATGCTGTGACGCTATGTTTAATCTTTATTTCTCCCACTCAGATGTTTCACTGTGGAAATCAACTGTGTTTTGATTGCACGGGTTTTTGGTTGGAGTGTTAGAGCTTATCTGGCCCTAAGTGTCGGCCTGTATCTTAATTTAAAAGACAATGTCAAATATTTGCTCTCTGAGTACTGAATCACCTTTCATTTTTTTAAATATATGTTATTGATTTTTCACAGAGAGGAAGGGAGAGAGATAGTTAGAAACATTGATGAGAGAAAAACGTCAATCTGCTGCCTCCTGCACATCTCCCACTGGGAATGTGCCCACAACCAAGGTACATGCCCTTGACTGGAATCGAACCTGGGACCTTTCAGTCCGCAGGCTGATGCTCTATCCACTGAGCTAAAACGGTTTCGGCTGAATCACCTTTTAGGTAAGAATGTACTGTAGTCATTGAGGATCTATTATTGAGCTTCTGAATTAACTAATTAATATAACCTGTTATCTTAAATTAGGAGGCAGTAAGAATAACAAAAATTGTCACTGAGCATTTAACGATATGCCGGGAATAGCACTAAGCACTTTGCATGCGATATCTCATTTAATTCTCAGACCAACTCTCCTGAGGTAGAGATGCCCAAAGGCCAGTGGCTTCTAAATGAGCAAGGACTCAAAGCCAGAGAATCTGCCTCCCCTCGTGACCGCTTTGGAGTGTAGAAGGCCTGCTCCTTCCCGTGCTTTCTCTGGCTCAGGGCCCTTCCGATGGAGAAGCACAGGGACGATCGCCCCGCGGTCCTGGCCTAATACACACCTTTCACGAAGGCCCGCTTCACAGCTCTCAGCAAAATACACTTTAGTGCTGGGGATGAGTTACGCGGCGTGGAAGATTGGAGGCACGGTGAGTTGCTGCCAACCAGGCTTATCCCGGATGGAAAGCATATCAGAGCTCAGCAAGAAGCCCCTCCCTGGCTCCCATGGGTTAGTTATTTCTCATATTCTTCACTGCTCCTTGTCCTAGAATCAACCCGCCTCTTCTTTCCGCAGGAAATGCCAATTGTTAGTGCAAATTAACTTATAGAGGGGGCTGTCAAGAAATTAGTCATGATATTCAGAAACACGTACTGGGAGGAAAAATATGATAAACCAAAGGGGCGAAATAAACTTTTTTTTGATTTTGCTTTTTCCCTATTGTTTCTCTCTTCCCACCCCTCTCTCTGACTTCTTACCTGTCTTCTCATACTTTTTAATCAATATATTCCTAAAATATATATATTAGGAATTCTGATATATATATATATATATATATATATATATATATATATATATATTTGATAACTTTCTTTTCTTGCCTAATTCCTTGCATGTATTCTTCTTTTTTCTTTATTTTTTTTCTACATTTCTTTCCTTTGTTGCTTTTATTGGTTGCTATAGTTTTTCACTCTTCATTCTCTTTTTGGTCTGGGTGGCACGCAGTAAAATCTGCAGTGTCCTATGCATGCAAAACTGCACATAGATATTTTGTAATTGTTTATTTGTAGTGAACTACTTGAGAATGAAATAATAAGTGTTTATTCTTCTCCTTTGACCTTTATACCCATAAATGCCTCTATTTTACCCATATCAGAATTTCATTACTAATACGACATGCCAACTCATAGGAAGTGGGTTATGGTTTTATTTTCCTAGTGACCTTTTGGTAGGAATTGGCTGCAGACTGTTTGCCTGCCACTTTGAGAGTGATGGAATCAGACACAGTTATCCCCCAGTTATTCATGAGCTAGACTTTAGTATTCAGTCAGCATGAACAGCAGGCCCAGTGCAAAATCCAGAGGGAAGGAGAAGACGAATGAGACCCTCAGAATGCAGCATAGCTCCTGAGTGCAAAGCTATGGTCTTTAGACTATCACTAGGAATCCATAGTCTGGCAATGGCTCGTTGTCCAGTGGCTCTTCAGAAAACCAAGAGAAGAATGGGGATGGGTTAGGGAAGATAGAAGGGAAACAAGCAGAGAGAAGGAAGCAACCGACAGAAGAGGGGCAAGGCACATCCGGAGCAGCCCAGATGGCACAGTGAGGGCAGTGGTGGCAGTTGAGACCAGGGCACAGCAGAGGTGGCCAGCAATGGGGCGTCTTCAAGGAAAGGGGAAAGCAGCTGTGACTTGGGAGGAGGAGGTGGTGGCACACCTCTGCCCTTTGGAGGTGGAGACAGCCATTTGGATTTCAGTTGCTTCAAACAACTACTACTGTATGATGCCAGAAGACATGGCCAGTAGATGCTAATGCTAGACAGTTCTGGAGCTCATCCTGAGTGAATGGAATCGGTGGGAATCATTGACACCATTGTTTGTCTATTTTATTATTATACTTGAGGCCCGGTGCATGAAATTGTGTATGGGTAGGGTCCCTAGGCCCGGCCAGCAATCAGGGCCCATTGGGGCCTTGCAGCTGCCGGCTGGGCCTCCCTTCCCTGGCTGCCGGCTACTAGCCTGGGGCCTTCCTTCATTCTGCTCCGCTCCCTGGTGGTCAGTGCACATCATAGCGAGTGATTGGTCTCTCAGTCAAATTCCTGCAGGGACAATTTGCATATTAGGCTTTTATATATATAGATGGTCCAACCTAAATATTGGAGTATTATTAAGAGTATAAAATATGCAAAAATTAGGAAGACTTTGGGCAAAATTGTGGGCTAGTGTCACATATGCAAGAATCTTATTCCTGTGATAACGTGTCGTGTTCTGAATGAGGTCTCTGGGCTGTGGCCTTTATGGAACAACTGGCTTTGCCCCACTGCAACCTCACATTAAGCATCAGATCGACAAATTCAACATTTCTTCATAAAAGAGGACAATCTTGCACAAATGAGTTTATGATACTACAATGACATATAATATTTTGACTGCTATTGCTTAAAAGACCCTTAAAGAAACATGCTGAAGATGTCTGCAGGATTTTGAAATCGTTTGAGAGATGATGGCAGTGTCCTATGATAATATAATGTATGTGTCAATTTTATACATCACCCTTGAATACCATGTAACCCTATATCCTTTCCTTCATAAGAAAAATACAAGTGAACCCAAACTAAGGACATTTCTAAAGAAAACAAATTCTGTTTAACACTTTAATTTTCTTTGCTCTGCACTTATCATTAGATGCCTCCTATCTGGCAGGCGTTGTACTAAGCGATTCTTACCATTACCTCTAATCTTTAAAATAGGTCTCCAAGATAGGTGTAGATATGTCCTGTCTGTCCTAGAGATGAGAAACTCAGGAAGCGCATTGCTACTAAGGGGCAGAGCCAAGATGCCCACATCCGTGTCTCTGGCTCGAAAGCCTGCTTTCCTCTCTCCATCGTTCCACAGAACAACTGCACCCGAGTCGCCTTCCGTAGCACCAAGGAGAAGCTTGACTGTGTCCAGTTGGCTGTATTTAAGAAGGTGCAGATGGGTTTGTGAAATGTCCATTGTAAAAAGGTTAAAATTAAGTCTTCATTTTGTTTTAGCACGTTATATTGTACCTTGCTTGGTCAGAATACTGTGCTATCACCACCCACAGGTTGTACTGATAACTAAGGAGCTGCAGCGTGATTTTATAAAATACATGGAAGGTTTGTTTTTAAACATAAGGCGATGGATTTTACTGGTTGTGTTTTAATTTGGTCAGAAGTTGTCTTTCCTTTCAAAATTTCATATGTCACCGAGTATTCATATATGTTTATGCAGGAGTTTTTAGAAGACATGTACCGTTAAACTTCAATCTTTTTATTTGCTTATTAAAATAACATTTCTAGAATTAATTTTGTGGAATTTTGAGTTCAAATTAAATGATGGAGTTTCACTCTATAAATAAATAATTAAAATATATAGACTTTATGTGCAACATATTGATTTTTTAATCTCTGTGCTTAAATTCAGGCCCCAAGTCCTTTGCAAAGGCATTTTCCAGCGGCTATCTCATTGGAGAAGTTCTGCACAAATTTGAACTCCAGGATGACTTTTCAGAATTTTCCCAAAGCAAGTGAGTCAGATGATTTCGTACTTAAAAAGGGGGTCAATTCCTCTGGCATCTGCATGGTTTTAGCCTCCAACAGTAACTTTTAAGAATCATCAATCCCAAGGTCCCTTTTAAAGCCTAAACCAAGCAAGAACACCTTTGGTGTGGAACTTGTCTCTTCCTCCTGCATTTATAACGTGCGAAATTGCAATTTTTCCACCTCCTCATCGCTTGCTTGTTTATTGCCTGTCTTATCGCAGCCATCCGAGTGGCTTCGGGCAAACGTGTAATGACATGAACCCACCATTACAGTGTCATACAGAGTCCTGCTCCCAGATTCCCCATGCTGCCTGTGCATCTCGCCCACCTCAACCCTGGGCAGCCGCTGATCTTTTTACTGTCTCCATATTTTTGCCCTCTCTAGCATGTCCTCTACCTGGAATCATATAGTGTGCGGCCTTTTGAGATTGGCTTATTTCACTGAGTAATGTGTACTGAAGGTCCCCCGACAGCTTTTCATGGCTTGAGAGCCCATTTCTTCTAAGTGATGAATGACATCCCGCTGTCTCCTGTCACGCAGTTTATGTATCCATTCACCTGCAGAAGGGCATCGTGGTTGCTTCCAAGAGTTGGCAGTTATGAATAAAGCCTCTGGAAACACCCACAGGCGGGGTTTTGTGTGGACAGACAGTTTCAGTTCTTTTGAGTAGACACCAAGGAGCAAAATTGCTGGATTGTAAGGCTCTTGCTTATTTTTACATATTTTTGAGGAGCTTTAAATCTGACCTCTCAGGCGGCTGCTGGGTTTTACAGCTTTCTCTGTGGCAACGCTGCTGGGCTTCAAGGCTACCATGGAGCGGGGAAGATGGGAATGGAAATGGGCGAGTTAAAATGACAAAAAGTGTTTGGCTCAGCACAAAGAGCGTCGGCCTGGGAACTGAAGGGTTCCGGGTTTGATTCCAGACTAGGGCACGTATCTCGGTTGCAGGCTCACTCCCCAGCTCTGGTTGGGCTGTGTGTGAAGGGTGTCTCTCTCACATCAATGTTTCTCTCTCTGCCTCTTTCTCTCCCTTCCACTCTCTCTAAAAAAAAAACAATGGAAAAATATCCTCAGGTGAGGATTAACACAAAAGAAAGAAATAAAATTACTGAAAGCTCTCATTGCTGACTGAGATTGGCTATTGCTGCTGCTGCTGCTGCAGCTGTTGTTTTTAAATCAATGCTGCTTGGATTGTTACAGGCCTTTGACTAATTTCCAGAATTATGAAAAAGTCGATGGATAGGGCTTGTGCCAGGTTTAGGGCTTGGCAACCTGAACACAGGGCAGCTTTCCCACCTCGCCCCACTCTTGGATGGGTGTGCGCCCTGCTCATCATCACAGGTAACAGCCTGCTTTCCCCACTACAGAGGACTCTCTTGCCCACTAAGAGCCATCGCAATCCCCAAGATGGGGAGGAGACCTACTGCTCCTGACAAAAGAACACCCTCATCTTTAGTTTGTGGAACAGCCCACTTTTTTCCCAGGACAACCAGTCTTTTAAAGAAGACAAGGACCAGTAAATCCATGGATATGACCTTTGTACTAGTGTATTTGGTGGGGAGAGAATCCTTCTTTGTTAAAATCTATTTGGGGGCAGCTGTCTAGGGCCAAAGCTCATGTTTTGGGGATTTTTGTCTAATAATTTTTAGTTGCTTTACACTAAAATGTAAACAATAAAGTAAGTATATGTTGCTAATAACTAAGTTATTTGCCTTGGAAAAATCTAAATCCTAACTCACCTAACACTGAAAGAATTCTCGGTTTTAGAGTATTTTCAGTCTGTCCCAAAAGGTGGAAAATGAACAGATTACTTAAAAGGATGAAAAATAAAGAGACACAGACACCCCGGAGAGGGCGGCTTCTACTTGCTCTGAAACATAAATTCCCTCGCCGAGTGGCAAGAAGAGGAGATAGGGAATCCCTTGGCAAATTAGATCTGCAAATAGGGAGGGAGGAGACTTTTCCCAGAATTCAGTTCTTTTCCTTAGAGTCATGACTTACATCACATACTCTGTCTCCAGAGCAAAGATGTCCCAGTGGTTTCTCTGTGTTCAAAAACATCTGAGTTGACAGTGCAGTATTCAGGGCTATTTTCAGACTCTAGTAATAATATCATTTGAAGAAATGGACTTTTAATTTGTTATTTTGACTTCTGAGTAGTGGTATTTTTCAAAACCATTGTTTCATTTTTCCCTTAGGAGAAGGAATCTAGTTATCTGGTTTTGTATTGACTTCCTGTAACCATTCCAACATCTGTTTTAGCAGGAAAGTGTATAAAATGAATGAGTTTTAACTTAGCCATTGAAGAGAAATACTCGTAAATACATGAATTTCAGGACAATAGGAGAGCTCAATGTGTTTGCACGACTGAGTGGTTTTAGAGAGGAATGATATATTTAAAAAGAACACAGCATACTTCAGACGATTGGACCACGATAGTATCTCTGATATTTGTTTTTAATCCAATGCCAGTGTCTAAATATGTAAAATATTTTAATGCCTAGTGTTTCGAGTGCCAAGCTGAATAATTTTTCTCGCTTGGAGCCAACACTTCACCTCCTGGGTGTGCAGTTTGATCAGAAAGTGGCTAGCAACATTATCACAGAAAAGCCTGGTGCGGCAACGAAACTCTTATATCAGTTGTACACGACTCTCCAGAAAAAGAAGAAAAGTGGACTGACTGGGGCGGAAATGCAAACCATGCAGCCCCTGATCACCATGCGACTTCAGAACATCAAAAGTGAGGCTTTCCGAGATGTAAGTACAGAAGGAAACGCGAGAAGCCCCAGTGGGTGTATGTGTCCCTTCTGCGGCCCTTATGTGCTTGGCTATAGTGGGGTTTTACTTTATATTAATAGTTTCAATGCATTTATCCATGTTTAATAGCTCTCTCATGCTATCCACATTTCCAATAGCTTATCAAATTCTGTTTGTTCCTAAGTCCCTGAGCTTTTATGCCTACTCCTCTCTCTCTAAGTGTAGCCATATTTGCTTATGAACCTACTGACATGACTCCTGAGCCTCAGGCTTTGTCCCTAAATTCCACTTTCACCGGGTTCTTCTTTTGCTTACAAACCTTCTGTTTTACATATATCCTGTCTCCCAATTTAGACTGACAAGCAACAGCTTTCACTAAGTGTTCTTAGTCTGTCTTGTAAACATTATTTCTTCATAGTCCTCAGTAGGAAGTCTCGCTTCTGCATTGATTGGCAGCCTGTCTTTGCTTGTCTATTCCTACTCTTTCCTTTTCTCAGCCAAGCTGACTCCTCTCATCTCTCCTTGTCCCCACACTTCTCTCCATCTACTCCATCTCCTGTGCAGCCTTCCCGGGACATATGGGCTCTTCACGGGCACCTCCTTGGGGACAGGTAATTCTCACTCTCTGGTGTTAACCTTCTGTTCCTGATATCGCTGCTGACTTTCAATATTGATTTGTCTTATGACCTCATAAGATTTTCAGTCTTTCAAATTCATGGGATATGCCTAGTACCATGCTTTCTTTCAACATTTTGACCACTCACTACACATGTTTTGATAAGTTGATAGAACTTCCTAGGTGGCAATCACCTTCAGTTCCGGTGCTATTTCCTTATGGTCAGTGGAATGCATTAACCTTTCCAGGTCTCTAGGATAATGGCGAGTGCTGCACTGATGCAATGCACTACATGGAAATGGAAGTAACTAAAATTTTTAGTTTAATTATGAAGCAACAGTGACATAATAGATGTGAGGGACAGTTCTACTTTCAGCTATGTCTATGCTTAATGGACAGCCTTGTGAGCCTGGTAACAGAATGAAGTCAGGACCCATGAGAGCTAGAAATTAGATTAGGCTTAAAGCTGAATCACAGGATTGCATCTTTCATTCTTCACTTGCAAGCTGATTACCTTTGGGCCAGTCCCTAGAACAGTCTTAATTATCCCAACTGTAAAAACAATGATGATTGTCTCTATCTACTGCAGAGTTAGGCTTTTTTTTTTTTTTTTAACTTCAAGAAGACAATACACAAGTCATTGTAAAGTACAAGATAAGCAGCAGTAACAAATTCTACAGAGCTGGGCAGATGAGGCCAGACTAGAGACCATTGGGTTTCATGTTGGCCCTGGGTGACCTACCAGAGTCAGCCAATCATCCATTGAACACATATTTGTTGGGCTCCTACTCTATGCCAGGCATTTGCACAATGAACCCAAATCCTCTTAGAGCTTACATTTTAGGGGGAGAAAAATGTCTCAGTTTAGTGGTTAGATTGCAGTGAGTTGAGGAATAAATTGGAGATGAGAAAGATGGGAGCCATAGACTATTCTTTCAAGAAATGTGAAGGTGAAGGAGAAAAGGAAATAAGAGCAATAGCTGTGGGAGAGAAGCTCAAGGGAAGCGTGAGACTTTGTTTATGGATAGAGATACTGGGACAACCTGCTGGTTGAGGTGACGGAAATCAGTGGCAGGAGATGCCTGATGTGAGGAAGAAGTGGAAGGAGAGCCTCTGGGAGGAAAGAGGAGGAATGAGGCAGGGGTTCAGTTGAAGGAGTAGGAATGACACTCTTCAGTCCCAAATGGATGAAGACAGGGTTGTTCATTATGTAGAAATAACAAAACTCACTAATTTTAATGATGTGCCAAGCCCTGTTCCAGGTGTTTTTTTATATATTGTCTTGTCTAATACATCGGTCCTATGAGATAGGTATTTTTTTCTCTCCCCGCTTTGCAGATGTGAATCTGAGATACGGAGGTTAGAACACTTGCCCAGCTTTACAGAGCAAGTAGCTAAAACTCAAACCTGAACGATCTGACTCTAGGAGCCACACACTTCATAGGAGGCTCTCTGCGATCTCCGTGGGTACTTCCTGGGTTGGGGGGAAAGTAAGAATGAAGTTGGAGACATAGATATGTGTTGAAGCGGAGAGGTAGGCTGATCAAGGATCTTCCATTGTTGCTGTCCCTGTGGAGATGGAGGCCAGGCCATTTTTCATAGAGAAAAGGGCCGAAGGTGTGGAGGAGCTTAAAGTCAGCTCAAAGGTCCTCAAACATTCTTCTGAGTAAGTGGCAGGACCCACTGAGGCCATATTAGGAGAACCAATGTTATCTTTTCTTTCTTTTTTTTTTTTTCAGTAAGTCTTTAGTTTCAACGGAGATTACTTCTGAATATAAAAGTTTTAGTTAAATACATGGTCCATGTTTCTGTGTCCCACTTAACAATCATCTTTAAAAGTTTATTTTCTTATAATATCGCATTCTCCAGTGGCCTGGAAGTTTTAATGTTTCCTCACTTGTTACTAGGAAGAGAGAGGCTCAAGTGATAGAAAGAACCTGACTTATATTCTCTCTCACTTGTTGAAATTGGTTTTATAAAATTATTTTTATAAAACTATATTTCCAATAATTTAAATACCATTTATTAAAAATTTAACTCAGGACAAAAATTTACTATACAACTATATATATCAGATTATTTTGTAAGAAAGAATTCGAGTCATATTTTTGTATTCTCTCCTTACATCAATTAAGGATGTGAGTCATTAGAATGGGGCTTATTTTAGCAACCAACAATAGTATCTTATAGAAATTTTATTTCAAAGACAAATTTTATGTGTGCTTATAACAATGATATACTCTTTATTCTCTAATAATGGCATCTTTTGAAATGCTTTCTTCATTTAGAGACTTAGAAACCTGATACCACGTCAAACCGATTTCAATCTGATGCAGGTTACGCACAAGTTTCAAGAAAAATACGTACACATGAAAGAAGATGTTGTCCGAATGCAATCTGAGAAACTTGAAAAATTTCAAAAACTCAAGGAACAACAAAGATGTTTTAATATGGAAAAGGTTCTATAGCACAATTTTAACAAAAATTCATGAGTGCATAGTATACTGTGTGATTGATGCCTGAAGTACACATTGCATAAGCATTAACGTAGCCCAAGGTGCATGCTGCTTAGGCACGATGTGACCATGCTCTGCCTGCTCCTGCCTCTCTCTCCTTCACTTTCCCCTTGTCGCCATCTCCGCTTCTGCTCACTGTCACCTCCACTCATAGCTAAGAAGCGAGAACTGCCATTCTCTGGAATGGCAGGACAACTTGATCCAGCGGTTCTCAACCTGTGGGTTGCGACCCCTTTGGGGGTCGAACGACCCTTTCACAGGGGTCGCCTAAGACCAAGGGAAAACACATACATAATTACATATTGTTTTTGTAATTAATCACTATGTTTTAATTATGTTCAATTTATAACAATGAAAATACATCCTGCATATCAGATATTTTACATTACAATTCATAACAGTAGCAAAATTACAGTTATGAAGTAGCCACGAAAATAATTTTATGGTTGGGGGTCACCACAACATGAGGAACTATATTTAAGGGTGGCAGCATTAGGAAGGTTGAGAACCACTGCTTTATAAGATGTCTGGTAGCAATCAGTGAATCAGATGCATTAGTGATGGGGCGGGGGCGCGCTCCTGGCTCCTCAGCAAAGGCTGTGGCCATTGTCACCACTGAGGGAGACAGAGTGGACATTTCTTCTGTCCTCTTCCTCCTTTGCCACCCCTTGGCCTTCCTACCCTCCCCCATTTCTCTCTTCCTGGCAATGTGGCTTGCTTCCCTTCCCAGCCCCCTTAAACCTCTCAGCATCTTCCTGGCCCTTCAGGCTTTGACTGACTCCCTGCTGCTTCTCCTGTTTCTCTGAAAGTCTTTTGTGATCTCCTCTGACATGATGGAGTCATCACAGACTTTGCAGAGAATTGCAGGGGGCTGTGTGTATGGAATGTGTAAACTGCAGGCAAAATAATTCCATTGCACACTGTAACTCACTTTATATAAATTCATATATTTAAAATGATAAGAAGCTAACATATCCTGAATGTAGCCAGCTCCTCATGAGGAGGGAGGGAAGGATGAGGGACGAACTCTGGAAAGTCTTAGGATCACATTACTTGCCGCAGACTGGAAAAGGGGGTGGGCTTCCCTGGGCATTTCTGGTGAGGAGACAGGCACTCTGAGTGTTTAGGCTGGGACTCCAGGTGGAACCAGCCTGCCCAGCCTTGATGGGCCGAGGCTCCTGCAGAAAGTCTCCGAAGAAAGTTGGGAAAAACAACTTTAAATATCCTGAAATAAACTGTTAAAATGATAAGAAGCAAATAGGACAAAACGGAGAACCTAGCTCTTCCTGGTTTTCTTAAGATAAAGGATAAACATATTGCAGTTAAGTAACAATTTGCATTTTAGAAAAGGAACTGAAGAAAATTTTAGAATTATTTTATTTCTGACTTGTTTCTTATTGACATTTCTTATCTTTAGATGTAGGTACTAATGATCTCATTTGTTTTAATATATTGCTTTAGTAGTAAAGTCATGATTAGTTTCATGTTACCTCCTAAATCATTTATTTGTAAAATATTTTACCTAATTTTTTTTTAATTATGCCCTTCTGCTTATGTCTTCTTAAAATAATTATTGCCTACATAGAGAAGAGATGACTTTGTAATCATCTTACCTGACTTAGTGACATGATATGAATTCAGTATTTTATGAATTCAGTGTTTCAGTGTGACTGAGTTTGGGGGAAGTTTGTCATTTCTATTGAGTACCCAGGAATCCTCCTAAAGACCTCCTAGACCAGTGATGGCGAACCTATGACACGCGTGTCAGAGGTGGCACACGAACTCATTTTTTTGGTTGATTTTTCTTTGTTAAATGGCATTTAAATATATAAAATAAATATCAAAAACATAAATCTTTGTTTTACTACGGTTGCAAATATCAAAAAATTTCTATATGTGACACGGCACCAGAGTTAAGTTAGGGTTTTTCAAAATGCTGACGCGCCGAGCTCAAAAGGTTCGCCATCACTGCCCTAGACTGAGCTTCCTCTTCAGATCATCTTCAGACAGAACTTTCTCTTCCCACTATCGGGCAGGTCATGAAGGTGGAACTGGGAAAGGATCGTACTCGCGTTTGTGTGTGGGAAACCTTTACATTCCTTTTTGTATCAGCACCCAGAATGAAAATGCACACAATTGACTGGTATAACTTGGGGACTCCAAAACTGTGTTTTAATATCATACTTTCCAAACTAAGTCATGTTGACACCTGCTTTGTAACATCATACAGTTGTGACCCCCAGTCCATTGATTAGTTGATGAGTTCTGAAAACTTCAATGGGGAAATTGTGTGTATGTGTTCCTATGAGTGTGTGACATTGCCTCTTAGTCTGATGAACTGAATGACTAAACTAATGTCTATGGGGTATTCAGCAACGCTTGAGCAGAAGACGACAAAATGAAATAATGGCCAAAATCCAAGCGGCTATCATACAGATTCCAAAACCGACATCAAATCGTACTCTGAAAGCAATTGAGGCCCAAAAGATGATGAAAAAGAAAAGAGAGGCAGAGGTAGGTGATAGTCCTTTCATACTGGGTTGTGTTTATCTTAATAAAGGAATGATCGTTCCCTAAAACACAGAGAGAGATTTCCCAAAACTGCTTACTTTCTTTACAAATTATCTCTGGCATGTCCCTTCTCATGAAAACGCTTCCATGGTATGCACATTCAGTCCGTTTCATAATGTTACTTGTTCAGAAACAGAAAATGCAGCTCTGGGCCAGAGATGACAGACTCTGGTTAAGTGACAGCACCTGTGTGAGTGCCCGTGCTGAGGGTTCTGTGATCGCTAATGAGCTGGGCCAGAATGGGTGCTGCCAGCATGACTCCCGTGGGTGCCACAGGGGCCAGCTGAGGCGCACATACCACGCCTGTGCTATTCGTCCCTAATGTGTTCACTCAGTTGCTCCTTGCCAGGCTGCACTATTTTTCTATGAATCCTAGACGTGTTGAGCGATTTGCTTGTTTTCAGTATATTTAAATTTAAGTTACCTACACAAGTGAGTTTTTGCTAGCGATCCATGCCAAAGGATGCCATCTGATTCTGTTCTGTGGGGGAATAATAGTATATTTTGATACAAATTCCTGTAGTTTGCATACCACTACAATAATGACCCAAGAAGATGATTAACAGCTACCATTTATTGAGCATCTGCTATATGTCAAGCTATGGATTGGACATTTGACACGATCTTTAATTTATACATAACTCTCTAGGTAGGCTATTCTTTTGCCCATTTTGTAGATAAGGAAACTGGAACTCAGAAAGCTGGCATGTTCTACTCAAGCTCACAATGCTGGCAAAGCAGAGTTGGCAGGTCTACATTTATTTTTTTAATTAAAAAATCCCGCGTGTGGATTCTAAGAAATATTACCCACGGATGTTTTCTTCTGACCTCATTTTAGTAAAGTACATAATTCTTATATTTCCTAGAGTTGATTAAATTTTATTAATAAATGCAGTAGACAGAGGATGAACTAATAGAGAGCAAATTAATAGTGTAAATGAGGCTGCATGAGACAGTGATTTTTAAAGAAATGTTTATATCCAAAAATGCGTATCCTCATTTATAAGAATTGCAATTAAAAAGCTCAACTATAATTTAATAAATGTTTTCAAATTTAAAAATAATTGTGTCCTAACTCTTACTAAATTAAGAGCTGAAATGTGAACTAAATGAGTCAGGTTAAGCAATTTTCATATTTTTTAGGTATATTTAGTCCAGAGTAGAAGTAACATATCAGAATCTTAGAAATTTGCTGGAGTGTGGCTTTTCCGATCTCACTTCCTAATTAGCTTGAGTTAATAGTGCATGTTACCTTGTAAATTTGAATAAATAGGGTATGTGGCAGTTTTCAATGATTTTTAGAGGCAGAAAACTGATAATGAATTTTTTTTTAAAGGATGTGGCCAATGAGATTAAGGAATTTGAAGCATTACTAAAAAAGGATCTCCAAGCAAAAGAAAGGTGAGTTATGAACTATTTTAATAATCACAAAACTACATTCTTTTTAAGCTGTAGGTTTTGAATATTTGGAATAGTGTACCTGGAATAGCTGTTCCGAAGACCTTTTCACTCTGTAGATGCTTCATTATGACAGTACACGAAAGAATATAAATGACTTAAAGTTCAGATTAATGGTTCATTAACAACTTTTGTAAAGTTCAAGAGGGAAAATGGCTATTATAATGCGAAGTTCAATTATTTTTCTATTCTCTGCTTAACATTTTCTAAACTAAAATTGTTTCAAGTTTAAGTTTGTCACAGTAAAACCTTTATTAGATGCTAGTTGGTTTCTCATGTGTCTCCTCAGCATTTAACACAGGGATTCAATAAAGAGTTGTTGAATCAGTTTGTTGACCAAATGTCACTAAGTCAGTTTGGTGACTTTCTTGAAAAAGTGCCTGGTTAATGGGCTTCATTTGCCCAAAGATAAAGATCTTCTATTGGGGGGTTCATTGACTCACTATAACTGATTAAGGACTGTGTATAATATAGGAGCAGCTTGAGGTGTTTTTCTTTTTTTTATGTAAACTATCAAACTCTACTCAATCTATAGAATTTAAATGTATAGACTGAAATAAATCTTTGTCAAAGAAGAAAGGCACAAGTTATATACTTCAGTTCCATGTTAATATTTCTGAGGGAAGGAAACAGTGTCAGATGAGGAGGAATAAGAAAAAGCTAGGAAAAAGTGGTGCAGAAGTCAGATGTGGCAGGAAAGTAAAGCCGATGAAGAATGTACGCAGTACTTCCCCTCCCACCCTCTGCAGAAACTCCCGGTGCCCAGCCGTGGTTCCCACTCCCGTTTTCCAGTGCTGCCCCGACTCCATGAGAAAACACAGTCCATGCCCACACACCCAGGTGGCCGCCGCCTGAACCCACCACATCCACCTGACTGGCTCATGAAACCACTGCATTTCTCCCAACTCTTTCACTCACCTCACCAGCCACACACTCTGGAGCAGGGGTCCTCAAACTTTTTAAGCAGGGGGCCAGTTCACTGTCCCTCAGACCGTTGGAGGGCCGGACTATAGTTTAAAAAAAAACAACTATGAACAAATTCCTATGCACACTGCACATATCTTATTTTGAAGTAAAAAAACAAAACAGGAACAAATACAATATTTGTATTTGCATGTGGCCTGCGGGCCGGGGTTTGAGGACCCCTGTTCTGGAGTGATAAACACATGACATCCACCAGCACGGCCATCTTGGAGTACTTTGTTACTTTCTGGTGGATGGTGGTCTCTGTGGCCCCAGGGCCAGCTCCTTTCCTAGGACACCACACAAGTTAGCAACCAGAGGTGGCACCAAGCACGGCAGCATCTCCCATCCCCTGCCCCAGCATCCATTCCAATTGATTCGTGACCTTGCCCTGTCGGTTAGATGATTCAAAGATCATCTCTGTATAGCATGGCTGCAGACACGCACCCTGCTTTCTGTGGCCTTCGCTAACTGGACCTGAGACTCGGTCTCTCTACCAGTTAGCTTTGGAAACCACCAGACAAGAGTGGGTTGAAGTAGATGGATGTTTACTTCGTCCTTGTGTCACAGAAATCAGAGCGTAAGCACTCAAGGTGTGTGTTGCAGCTCCAAGGTCCTCAAGGACTGAGCTCCTCGGTGCCTTTTGCTCCACTGTCCCCTTGTGTGGTTTGCATCCTCACCGTCACATGCACAGATGGCTGCTGGAGCTCCGGCCACTTGGCCCATGTTCCAGTAGCAGGAAGGAAGGCAGGCAAAAGTAGCTATCTCCAGTCTTAAATGGCTCCTTTTATGAGCCTCTCCAGAAGGCCCATATAACACTTCTGCTCACATCTTATTGGCTGGAACTCAGTCACACTGTCCTACGCAGCAGAATGGGAGGCTGGGAAGTGTAGTTTTTGGCTAGGGACATTGTGTTTTTCTGAATAAAAGTTGGGCTCGGTTTGGAGGGGAAAAGGAGGGACATAGCAGTGCCTGTCACAAGTCCTCTCTCTGCAAGAGCCTCCTCTTCATCTTGCTAGAAATTTCCCCCTGGGCACCATGAATATGCACCTTCCCTTCTCGGAAAGGCAGGATAGGGCCCAGGCAGCAAGAGCCCCTAGACCAGTCCCCCCTCACCGTGACCAGCCTCATCAGAGATTGAATGTCCCTTCCACGTGCTGCACAAAGAGCATTTTCTCTGATGGCCCTAAAGTGGAAAATGTTGGGAAGCCCTGGGCTAGAGCAAACCTTGAAAGAAAACCAAGGCTATGGTACAGCACGGTCCTTCGGAAGCCTCTTTTGCAGTCGCTACTTTTTTTTGAGACATTCTGAATTCTTAGCTTAGACTCTAGCATGCTCTGGGCTCATTGTGAAACCGTACCAGTTGCTGCCCGAAAGCACTGCAGTCCTCTCCCAGCCAGCTCCTGACAGGTCCTCGGGGATGTCACCTCCCAGTGCTTCTTGTTCCCCTCGTGGAAGAATAAAAGGTCTCAATGGGAGCAACACAAGGGTTCCCAAGGCTACTTCTCCCTCACATGTGCGTCTTTACTTTTTAAGACAAAGAACAAATGTGACCTGCTATTTGCTTCTGTAGCTGAGGTTGCTGGCTGCTGCAACATGACATTTGGATTCACACATTTCCCGTCGGTTCTTCCTAACAAGCTGTTTTTAATATTTACAAATTTGGCCAAGGTTCCTAGTACTAATAATTCACACATATCCTAACTCTATGGAAGCCTGGCAAGCAGATAAAAAGAAAACATAATTATTGCCCTCAAAAACCCATATCGAGTAAAATGAATATTCATTTAAGGAAGTATCATGTAGCTTTGTTCAGACCTTTATTGTAATAAGACAACAGATGGATGGGTGGATGAATGAACTGACTGATAAATAAAGGAGGGAAAGTATATTTGCTATATTATTGGTAGCATAAATACATTGTCAAAAGAGCCATTAATCCATGCTCAATCTAGGAAAAAAATATTTTACACAACACATTTATGTAAAAATATGGCAAGAATTTTGATGAATGATCTAAAGAAGTTATGTTACATAATTTTCATAAATACTTAATTGTACTAAATCTTGATATATAGATTGGGATAAACTTTGTCTTCATTACTGAGACTTTGACAGCTACTCAATTTCTGCTCAGCAACTTTCAGTGACAGAATGAACTGAAGGCTGAGCCCCTGCTGATAAAATAACCAGAAATTTAGTGTGTAATTTTAAAAATTATATCACACGTGTATTATACTTCTTAGCATATCATTTGAAATTTAGCAAACATCAGCTGCACGGCAGGCATACAAGGCCTACGTACGGAGAGGTGGAAAATTGGATACTTTTCTTCTGTGCTTTTCTTATGTGCTCAGAGTTCAGCGGGGAGCAGCAAACCTAGAAATAACGAACTATAATATAATGTGATCTGTACTCTAACATGCAGTTACTGCCTCATTGAACATGCACTAGCTGTGCTTTTGCAAGAGTACCTTTCTCTGTATGAGAATTGATGACCATTTAGTTCCTACACACAATGATAATGTGTCCTGTCTTTTAAGTAAAATTGTTATATTTTAAAATAAATACACTAATAATTTATAATATTAAAAACCATAATTATTCCTAATATTAAAATTCATGATTTCTTGGCAAGCCATATTATGATATATCTTATACCCTTGTTTTACATTGTTTATTTTTCATTTTTTTTTATGAGAGATGGCTTTGCTCTTTTTAAAAAATATATATTTTTATTGATTTCAGAGAGGAAGGGAGAGGGAGAGAGAGATAGAAACATCAATGATGAGAGAGAATCATTGATTGGCTGCCTCCTACATGCCCCACACTGGGGATCAAGCCCACAACCCAGGCATGAGTCATGGCCAGAATTGAACCCAGGACCCTTCAGTCCACAGGCCGACGCACTACTCACTGAGCTAAACCAGCTAGGGCCATTGTTTATTTTTTAAAGAGGTATGAGGATGGGAATTGGTTATTTGATCCTTATAGACATAACAATACATCTTCTAATGATAACTTTTGAAAGAATCTAGCAATTCTCTTCTAAGACACCATCTGAGTGTGTGTGCTTTGTGTTGGTGAGACCAACTGTCCTTGAGCCTTTAATTGTGGACATGAGGTAGGACAAATCCCCGAAGTAGGTCTCTTCATCTTGGGTCTCCAGGACTTGGTGGAGAAGCTAGGTCAGAACTGTGCCTGTGAGTGTGGCATGATGAGCAAGTCAACATTCAACTGCAGAGCTTCCGGCAGGAGCTGGGCCACCGCCCTCAACAGTCTGATAGTTGGGAGGTCCTAGAGCAGCTTGCACGTGCATAGGTGAGAGAGAGTGGCAGTGGACAGAACCACCCTGGAAGTACTCTGTGTCCTGGTATTAGTATGCCTGTGACTCCCCTGACACTTGGGTTGCCAATATTGTGCTACTGTTGACTCAAAACAGGGGAAGCAAGAGGCCTAGAGCCAGGAGGAAGAAGAGGCAGAGACATCCAGAGTGTCTGGGTAGAGTGAAGATCATGAGAAGTGTAAGAACAAGGAGTTGATGGGCCTAGAGAAAAGGCGACGCTAGGGACCCCCCAGAGCTCGAGTCCAGAAAAGGGGGGAGGCAAAGCGGAACCTGTTGACCACACTGAAGTGTCACACTGAAGCTCTAGTATTCACTCTCATGCTTATAATGATAAATTAGCAGAGGGCTCCGAGGGCCCTTCTCCCGAGTTCTTCCTCCGTGCTCACAAGTAGTGGCCTGTGATCATACTATGTTTTGAATCTAAAATAAAAACTCTTGTCCTCAGTACACCCAAGCCTTCTTTAGATTCAGCAGCCCAGACAACTGCCGATTTGTTAAGCACTTACTCGGATGACGACTACATTAAAAAAATCCAAAAGCGCCTCAAAGAAGACGCGTTTGCACGAGAGCAAAGGGAGAAAAGACGCCGGAGACTGTTAATGGACCAGCTGATAGCCCACGAAGCACAAGAGGTTAGATATTTGGATGTTGGTTAAATGATACTGTTGGAAATGTCGCAAAATGCAGTCTTTCATATGCACATTATGCGTATCTTATGTATCATCTGCCACTCTGCCTCAGATATCAATGGGACATCATAACATCACTTAGTGCTAAAAGGTTATTTCCCACTTCAGATTCACATTTACCTACATTTTTACATAATTCCCCGGTTCAAGTTGTGGCATTTGCCGCAGTATTGTTGTTATTTGTATCTTGATTCTGAAAAGGTATGCAGTATTCCTCTCATAATCACATAGTGGGAGAAGTGGTGTGAAACTGTGTCATTAGTGATGTCATATTTGCTTCTTAAATAATTGGGTTATTGAGTGTTAAATGGGCAACGCCAATTCTCAGGTATTCTTTTGACATTTCCCCGTTAAGGACTTGAATTACCTCACCCTTCCACATGATGTCTCTGTTTAGACAAGTGAGAGAGCTCCAAAGGGCTCTGGAGATCACCTTTCACCTAAACCCCTCATTTTACTTGTCCAGAAAGAGACCCCGAAAATCCGAGTTGCTTGCCTAGGACACACAGCGGTGCATGGGCCAGGGCCTCTGAATCCCAGTTCCATGCTCTGTCCACTATTCACTTACTGCTTCCCCTTTAATTCTCTGAAAGAGAACCAAGAGAATGCATCTGCTTTGTGTTCCAGATTGCAACCATTACAATCTTCTAGGATAAGCTGTAGGTCCTTTCTCCTTAGCCTCTTCCCCGTCTTCCTGTTCTGTTCAGTTTTTGCCTTTCCTCACTCAATAGGTGTAGAGATGCCCCTCAGGGAACTAATCAGATCCGCCATCTGCAGCCAGATAGCGCCTCTATTTGTTTTCACAACTAGCATTTCCGTTAAGAGTACCTACAGCACAATTCCACGTTTCCGCAAACATACTCAAAATTGAGAATCAGATCCCTTGTTTATAAAACCTTGAAAACAATCACCTGATTTTTTTTTTTCAAATTTTAAATGAGGCAATAATTTATTTAAATAATAGGGAGCTATACTAGTAAATCCGTAATGCCTCTTCTAGATACCCAGAGTATGCAACCTTGGTTGGAAATTTTTTATTTTTATGACTTGATGTTTGCCATGTTCAAATTTAAACCAAGTGGCGGAAAGTGATGCAGATGACTGCTATACCTTTTCCACACTGTTTAAGCCAGGGTCTTAGCCCAGTGGGAAACTAGGGCATGACCTTGACAGTAACTGGCTCCCCCAATGGTCTTCTCAGGAGGCTTACCGGGAGGAGCAGCTGATCAACCGGCTCATGAGGCAGTCCCAGCAGGAGCGCAGGATCGCCGTGCAGCTCATGCACGTCCGCCACGAGAAGGAAGTCTTGTGGCAAAACAGAATTTTCCGAGAAAAACAATATGAGGAGAGGCGACTTAAAGATTTCCAGGATGCTCTCGATCGAGAAGCGGTAAACAATATCTCCCTTAAAAATCTTTCTGAGGTTACTTTTGCTTCTTCCTACCTATCAAGGTAAACAAAGCTGTAGGCATGTGGCTGCCAATCAATGATCTCTCTCCATTATCTCCCCCTTTTTACTTTTGTACAACTACAGTGAAAACGCACACAGCATCTCCGTCCTTTACCCTTCCCCTTTAGTCTTGATTCTGCAGATCTTACCGCTCTCCACAGTCCTGTGGCTGCGTGGACACTGGCCTCTGTGTCCTCTTCAGGAGCGGAATTGCCCGGATAATCGTTCCATTCCTCCTTTTCTGACAAGAGTGACGCTGAGCGGATCGAGCGCACTTGCTTACCCTGGAAATGATGTGTTTAGCTCGTCTTTCCAGGTGCCTGTTTGTAGAGTACATTCGCCTCACAAGCCCAGTTAATCAGGGGCAGGATAGTAATGTGGCTGTAGCAGTGCCGGTCTCCCTGGGCTGAGAAGCGTTCCCTCTCCTCACCTGGGATGGAACAGCCTGCGGAAGGTTGGGCCACGGAGGCCGCGGCAGCCTCAGAGACAGGGATGTAACAACCGCATCCCTTCCTCCAGGGGATTGCCCTTCCTAACGCTGAGGCATCTGCTCCCCGAAGCCCCTCCCTTCGAGATGGCCGGGTCCGCAGCTTGGATGTACCCCCTCCTCGATCAACAGTGGCTAGTGCACAAGGAGGGAGGAAATAAAGAAGAGTTGAATTTTTCAAGGGAACGCTATCACCTTTTCTTTCCGGTAATATCCACTAAAAACACCAAACATCCCTTGCTTTCTACAGCATTATCCCTCCCCTTTGTGAAGGCACAGGAAGTTGTTAAAATTAGTTTTTAACTGTTCTTGTAGTTGTGCTGTTATTTGCGGTGGGAGAATTCGATAAGTACCTTTACATTTATTAAAAACGTTAAAGTTTGTTCACGGTGCGCTTATGAGCGGTTGGTAGTGCCTCATACTGTTACTGTGAGTGGGATGGACTCGCCAATCCCATTCCTGGCCAGTCCTGTTGAGCACAGCTGAGAACACTCCTGGCTTTCCCCCATTTCTCTGGCTGCTTAGCCCCTGCTCTCGTGTAGGACGTTCTCCTGGGATAGCGAAGCATTCACGGGGTCCTTAAAGCCGAGTCCTGCCCCCCACTCCCCCTTCTCTCCTCTGTTGCTTCCTCAGACAGTCTCTTCCACGGCCACAGGGTGTAATTACTGCAACAGACATGGGACGCACGCATCTATGTCTCCGGCCTCTGACATGTGCATCCATGTGTCCAGCTGCATCCCTGACCTCTCTCTTCATACATCTCACATCCGCATCACACGTTAAAGTCAAATTTATGACCCATGTCTCTAAACTGGTCTTTTTTAAGGTTCCATATTCCAACCAAAGCTCAGGCCCACTTGTAGTCTGATTAATCCTCACTCCTCCATATCCCAAACATCACTTAGTCCTGCTGATTTCAGGGACTAAATAAAAATCTCTTCAGTTTGCCCATCTCCCTCCATGCCAGCACCACCCCCCCAGCTCCTCCTGCTGCCAGGTCTCCTTCCTCTACGTTTGCTGGCTATGCATTGGCAACCACAGCTGGCGCGTGCAAGATCATAACATTATTTAGATCTTTCAAATCGACCTCAGCTAAACTCCAACAGCTCACCGCTGCCCACAGGGGTGTACAGTGGCCAGGTCACGGGGTCAAGTCATCAGGGAAACGTGTCGGCCACCGGGCACAAGCCCAGCCTGTTGCCATTGAGACTCAGCTACGCCAGCCCACACGTTGCCATCAGCACACAGGTCTCTGAGGAGGCCGTGCCGGCCTCTGTGGGTCCCTCACATGTTCCCCTGGGAGGTTTTGCTGCTACCCAGGAGCTGCAGGGGAGTGGGGTACACCCTTTCTCTTTCTCCGTGTTCTCAGCGCCTTTCCCTCTGTCCTCTCGGAGTAATTCAGACTCACTTGCCTCTGGATGTAGCCTTTAAAGTGAGGAGGAGCCTCCACCAGTTTCATCTTTTCCATCTGCAGAAATTCCCTAATGCAGGACTCAGTGAGACTTCGGATAACTTGTTAGAAATAAAGAAAGGAGAAAATTAGATTGAGCTTATACAAATTGTCTGTCCTGCTCTCATCCCCTCCCACACTGCTCTCTGCGCTGCAGCCAGGGGAATACTGGTAACTCAGATGTGACCACAGCCGTGACTCACACTAAAGAGGACCCAGCTTTGGCTTCCTGCCCACCACATCCCTGCTCCGACCTGTCCCCTCCATCCCCTGGACTCCAACCACACTGGTCTCTCGGACCCTGAAGAAGCCACTTCTCTCTCTCTGCCCTCTTCCCACCTGCCTTTCCCCAGCTAGCGGTCATCTTGCAGAGCCCCTCACATGGCGTGTCCGGGTCAGGCTGCTGCATGGACCCTCACACCCACGTCTCTCCCTAGTGACGCGTATAGTGCATAATTGTCAGTGGATGTGTGACTTTTTGTCTCTATTTCCATGGATGAGAGTTCCGTGAGGACAGGGACCATGTGTGCCTCTGTTAATACTGTTTCCCCAGGGCTTAAGCCAATGTCTGGTAAAATGAGAGAGAGAGAGAGAGAGAGAGAGAGAGAGAGAGAGAGAGAGAGAGAGAGAGAGAGAGAGAGGCCTGGAGTTGTGCACATTATTTAGGAGTTTTTGTCTGTTTTGTTTTGATTTTAGATTGCTTTTGCTAATCTCTTTAAGACAATTGGGTGTCTATTAAGACAGTTTCTGATTTTAAATTCCTGGCCTACTATTGTTTTAACAATAATCGAACACATTAATATTTAACATTTTTTGAGCATTTACTTTGAGTCGGGCATTGAGCTCTGTTCATTGCATGCTTATGTACCCTCACAGTGGCCGTTTCATGTGGCCACTATCCTTTCCACATGTTATAAGGAAAATGAGGTCTAGAAGCTCAGTCACACAGCTTCTCAGTGGCGCGGCTGGGAGCAGGCCAGGTCTGTAGACTCCAGAGTCCGAACGCACACCACAGGCTTCCTTTGCTCTTTCCTTCTTTCTTTTCTGGGGCTGCAACCCACTTTGCTGTGATGGGACAGGAAGTTACAGTGAGTTTAGCTCAGGGTCCGGGGTGGTAGTGTGGGTAGAGGTAGAAGACTAGGTAGCTAGAAAGATGGAAGAAAGACATGGAAGGGACTTGGAAGGGGAGGGTAGAGAGATGTGGGGAAGAGAGAAAGAGGAGACTGGGAAGGAGAGAGGGAGGGAGGGAGGGAGGGAGGGAGGGAGGGAGGGAGGGAGGTGTACCAGGTGAAAGCTCGCAGCAGTTCTCAACCTGTAGATCGAGACCCCTGAAAATACATCCTGCATATCAGATATTTACATTACGATTCATAACAGTAGCAAAATTACAGTGATGAAGTAGCAACGAAAATAATTTTATGGTTGGGGGTCACCACAAGATGAGGAACTGTATTAAAGGGTCGCAGCATTAGGAAGGTTGAGAACCGCTGCCTAGGGACAGACATGGCCCTGCTGCCCTCAGGTTTGGTTTGATCGCACCCTAAGTATTCCAATATTTCCAGGCACTCTGTAGTAAACCAAGCTCATGACCCATTTTACTGTTACTTTCTCCATAAATTCTCTACTAACTACTGTTCTCTCAGATTCCTCTCTCCAGAACTCTTCATGCTTCCTAAAGCATGCCATAAAGCTTTGTACCTCAGCTGTTTGCTTTCTTACAAAACAGGACCTGCAGAGCAGCACGAGGATAACGCATTCTGCTGTCACTCCTCAGCCGGCCACGGGGACAGGGCTGGCCTCAGAGGCCACACAGCCCGGCCCCTTTCCCAGCAACAATAAAACAAGCAGGACTACAATAACAAGACAAAAGAACCTCCCATTTGGTTCAGCGGACAGTCACAGTTATTGCCATGCCTTTAGTCCTGTGTGAACAGCATCATGATAAGGAATATTTGCTGTGACAAGACGGTTCAGTCAGTTTTCCTATTCATGGCAAATCTTCCTAATACAGTGGGGCCTTGACTTACGAGTTTAATTCGTTCCGTGACGGAGCTCGTAACTCAAATTACTCGTATGTCAAATCATTAAAGTGAACTAGTGAGACACGTGATGCTGGGCTGATGTTGTGGCGTTCACTGTGACATTCGCTGCGCCAACTAGCGGTGGGGTATCTGAAGCTGGCTCGTAACCCGAATTTTAGCTCGCAACTCAAAGCAAAAAATCAGCCAAGAGACGGCTCGTATCTTGAAAAACTCCTTAGTCAGGACACTCGTAAGTCAATGCCCCACTGTATCTGCGCTGTCCACAGAGGGAGAGGGAGGCGCAGGCCCTGATTGGCCCAAGTTCACAGCTAGTACTTGACCCCTGTACGGAACGCGGGGCTCAGATCCCATCACAGCGCCATCCGGGCCCAAGCTCGCCTCCGTTTTGCCCTCACTGGGTCACGGCACAGGAGGCAGGTCTTGTTTCTGGAGCCGGTTAGCACAGGATAGAATGTCTCCAGGAGCCGGGATAGCTGCTTGAAAAGCGGTATTTGGTCATGCTGAGTTCGACCTTCGTACTTGTGTGAAGAAAGGGTTTTTTAAACAAACCAATAGTGCAAACTGAGCTGAGGGTAATGACAAACTGCTTAAGCACTTCGTTGCTTTCTGCAGAAATACATGTCTGTAGGCATGAATGTTATCGATGCATTAAGGCTGCGACAGCAGCAGGTTTTGTTGATGTCTAAGCACATGTAACATTTGTCGGCAAATGTGCGGTATTTTCAGGTCAGCATAATCAGGGGATTTCCAAAGGATTTTCTACATCTAAATCAGTATTCTAGAACTTCCCCACGAAGGGCACTGGCCGAGCAGGTGTGTCTGAGCAAGGCCCTTAGACGGGTACAAAGAGGACAGACGTGCTTGAGGTCTAGCACTGACGTGCCTGCGTCTTTTTTTTTCTTTTAATGTTGGTTTTTTTAAATTGATTTTTTAGAGACAGAGGTAGGGAGAAGAATAGAGAGATAGGAACACATGTGCCCTGACCAGGAATGGGACCAATGACCTCCTGGTTCATGTGGCTGTACTCAGCCACTGGGCCACACTGGCTGGGCAAAGGTGCCTGTTTCTCTCTCTTCCCTGACGACTTGAAACCCGTGAGATCAGGACTTCGTTTAAAACACTTAAGACCCAACTTATCATCAGTCCGCTTTGGGCTTTCCCTGATTAGCCCAGTTTCGTCTGTACTCGATTTTGCTGATCAGTAAGCTTTTAGGGGAGTGTTTCCAAACTTGTCTTTGCCATCATTCTCAGTATTTAACGTGTTCATGAGAAGGGACTCTATCATTTATTTTTTCCTGGTGTAAAAGGAGGTTTCATTCTATTTAGAGATTTATTTCTGTTATTATCGAAATGAAGACATTATTTTCTTTTCAACCGCTGCCCAGTCACGGTGATTTAAAAATGTCTGCGTCACCCTAGGCTTTGGCAAGACAAGCCAAGCATGAGTTTGAAGAACAAGCCATCAGAGAGCGGGAAATTCACGAGCAGATCGCTGTGGAGAGAGCACAAGCCCTCTACCAGAAGCACTACTTAGCATGCACAGAGATTTTGGATCAGATACTTGACTTGTCCACAAAAGTGGCAGAATACCGGCTTTTGACAAATAAGTAAGTCTTGTTTCCTTAGAGTTAATACAATAGAGACACCCCAGAGAATGAGAAAGGTTACGATTGTAAAGCAGACACTGGGTGGGGAAGAGAGAAAAATGTTTCATGAAAGGAAGGCTGAGAAGTGGGGTCCAGAGAACCTGGATACTGACTTAATTCACCCCTGACTTGCCTTATTTAACACGCACTTATAGGTCTTTGACATTTAAATGTGTGTAAATTTACTACAATTTACTAAGACAACTATGATAATTTATTTGAAATACTCAGGACTTCCTAGGAGACGGGAATTGTTTAAAGATTCTTTTACTAATAATTAATGCAATTTATAAGAAAATATTGAGCAAAACAAGAAATATTAAGACTATGCCAAAATAAGAACAAGGGAAAATCTAAATATAAGTAGAAAGTTAACAACAAGGGGATACACTGAAGCACAGTTATATGGGCAGCAGGTTTGCCAGTTACTGCAACTGAGCTACAAATTTTATCTGAGTTTCCTGGTGGCCAAAGCAAAAGGGAAACATATATTATTTCTATGTCAAATAGATGACTTAAAAACCCACTTACAGAGCACAACTCTCTCGCAAGCTCAAGACTTCCTATATGCATTAGTTTGATTATTGTAGCATTTCACGGAGGCATATACTAGTCTTCCCCTTACTACTCTTAAGTCCTGCTTCATGAAAATTAATATAGAGGGCATATTGCCTACATGAAGCTATTTTTATTATAATTTTAAAAATACATAAAATTTTAAAGTTCCAGAAGTATTGATATATAGAACTTTTAGGGAGGCTTTCCTTTGAAAATGTGTCTTTTAATTGCAACTGAATAAGATAATTGCACATGAACATGGGTGGGCAAAAGTAGATGTGTAGTTGTGAGTACTCAAAACAGAGTTTAATTCTTCTATTATTTATTAATTATTCTATTACTTATTTGTATTACAACAGTACACCTGCTTTTGCTACCCCCTGTATGTTAAGATTTTTTTTTTAGTTTACATGATTAACAATCAAGATAAACTGATTTTAATTTCTCTATATTCTGCACTAAGAAAGATATCAGTATATATATTTTTGGTATCAAGCTATTTATATGAACTGACTTTTGTTAAGACTGCTCCTTAACAAAATTATTAATATTCAAATAGTAGGCTATTAGTTCAATAACTGCAAGATTAAGTTTGGGCAATATATAATTCAATGATTTAATTATTTACTTCATCATAGAAGCCAATGACACTTTGATAATTCTGGTGTTATTTCTATGCCTGAGCTTATTAATTTCTAAACTTCCATCTCTCCATAAAGCAATCTTTAGCAACTATTAATATTTTATTCATGGAAAACATGATTATATTTTAAATTGTAACTTTAAATACTACTTTTTATTGTGGTAAATAAAGAATGTACCACTCTAACGTTTTTAAGTGCACAGTTCAGTGGCATTAAGTACATTCACATTGTTGTGTCCCATCACCAGCATCCATCTCCAGAACTTCCTCATCATTCCAAGCTGGAACTCTGGGTAATTAAACAATAACTCCCCCCTCCCTCCTTCCCCGGCCCCGGAAACCACTGTTCTACTCTCTGTCTCTATGAATATGACTGTGCGAGGTCCCTCGTGTAAGTGGAAACATGGGGCATCTGTCCTTTCCTATCTGGCTGATTTCATTAGCATGTCTTCAAGGTTCACCCATGTGGTGCCATGTCTCAGAATGAAATACATGAACTACTGCTGGTTACGTTGTAATTTCAAGCTACTTTTAGAGAGCTGTATCTGCGTCATGTCAGTCTCTTTCCTTCCTTGCCCGCTTCATTCAACTTAGAACTGTTGTCCCATCACTCTGTCTGATTACCTCCTCTAGGCATCCCTCAGATTTAAATAGAAATAATTACTGATAAATCATCTTAAAGGTTAACAAATGTTCAGTGACAATAAGACAACCATACAGTCGATCTTTCTGTTATACATTAATATGAAAATATGTAAACCAACTGGCTTCTTAAAGGGGCCTTGAAAAGTATTCCACCTGTTCATTTTGTATAGGAGGGCACTATTGCCAGAGCATTTAAATTATTTCCTGAAATCACACAGCCATTTAACAAAACAGCTGGGAATAAAAAACCTAAGTATTACGATAGTGTGAATCATTTTGTAATATATTGTTCTTAGTTCATAGTCAGAAAGTTTGAAGAGCAGTGTCCTTAAGTAACGTTCATTTATTCAAACCTACTAAGCCCCAGACATTTTATTAGGCTTTAAGAATTGCCCTGGCCGGTTTGGCTCAGTGGATGGAACATCGCTCTGTGGGCTGAAAGGTCCCGGGTTTGATTCCGGCCAAGGGCATGTGCCTTGGTTGCAGGCACATCCCCAGTCAGGGGTATGCAGGAGGCAGCTGATCGATGTTTCTCTCTCATCTATGTTTCTAACTCTCTATCCCTCTCCCTTCCTCTCTGTGAAAAATCAATAATAATAAAAAAAAAGAATATAACAGCAAGTTGGAATCCCTGGTCTCAAACAGCAGACCCTGGAGAATGTATCCTATATAATAAAAGGGTAATATGCAAATTGACCCAACAGCAGAACAACCAGTTGCTATGACACGCACTGACCACCAGGGGGCAGACACTCCATCCAGGAGCTGCCTCCTGGTGGTCAGTGCACTCCCACAGGGGTAGCACCACTCAGCCATAAGCCAGACTAATGGCTGGCGAGCACAGTGGCCTGCCTCTACATCAGTCGGACATCCCTGGAGGGCTCGTGGACTGCAAAAGGGTGCAGGCCAGGCTGAGGAACCTCCCTTCCCCCCCAGTGCATGAATGTCATGCACCGGGCCTCTAATATAATAATAGAAAGACTATAGTTTAAGGTGTACGTATGACTAACCGTTGATTCATCTCTACCTTTTTTTTCTTTTGCGATAGTCTGATTCCACATAAAATTATGCATGATTGGAAGGAACTGTTTTTTCATGGAAAGCCCATTTATGAGCAAGCCTCTATTAAGGATCTGCCAGCTAGGCCTTCTGCAGAGCAACTTACAGAAATGGAGAAAAGGGACTTGCTAGACAACAATGATTATGAAGAGTATAAGGTACGAACAAAAATGGAGTAATTAAGATGAATGCAACATAATAAACATCCTGTTAACATTAATTTTGTGATATTATTTTATTCTTATTAATAAAAATGGGATTTTATGTTTGCATTTTTCCCTTGGTTTAATGTGTAGTAAAATACTCATTTGTAAATGCCTAACTACATATGCTCTATTACCTGTTACTCCCAGTTAATATTATGAGTGGTCTGAAAATAATCAAGCAAAGTACATTGCCTGGGCAGATAAATTGCAGAATTTTAAAATGTTTTTTTATCAATCAGCATTTTTCTTTGTATGAGCTAACTACCTTTGCTTAAAAAAACCCCTGTTAAAGGGTATTTCTTTAAAAAAATGTATCTAAAGATATATTGTTCTTAGTGGCAAATGAAAGAGGAGAAGGTCTGAGCTTTATGAGTAGCATAGATTTAAACAAAACTTTATTCAAAGATTTTTTTGTATTGGGTGCCAATTGTTTTCCTCAGATGAGCTGCTGAAAAGCCTTTGGGGTTAGACAAACCAAGGGCTCATCATTGGCACTGCCATGTGGTAGCTGTGAGACCACAGGCAGCCACTCCCTTAGTGTCAAAACTGATTTGTGAAATGGCAATAATAATATACCTACCTTATTTTGTTGTTGTGAAGATAATACATTTAAAAAGTGTATGTTTTTATTAATTTCAGAGAGAGGAAGGGAGAGGGAGAGAGATAGAAATATTAATTATGAGAGAGAATCATTAATTGGCTGCCTCCCTGCACACCCCGTTCTGGGGATAGATCCCGCAACTTGGGCCAATGCCTGGGCCAATGCTCAACCATTGAGCCACACTGGCTGGGCTGAAGGTAACACATATTGAACATTTAACCAAGTGCATTGCGTGTTGGATGCAAATAATACATATCAGTTTATTTCCTCACCACCTTGTACTCCTCACCCAACTTCATCTCACCTTTAGGAGGAAACTGTAAAATTAATAGCTATTGGATAGAAGTTCTGGGTTGATCAGCAGCAATGGAAGAAAATAAGAGGCTTTTTATTATTAGAAATATTGAATTAATTCCAGAAGGGCAATAAGTGCAATATGAATGATTTGGCACAATCGTTTGTTGAAGCCATCAAGTACTCACTAAATAGTTGTTGAAAGGATGCATGAATGAAGTAAATGAATGACAATGAACCGGGCAAAGTGTAAAATAGCACTAGTATGTAAATACTGAAAGAAGATAAGAATATGCAAAAAGGCAAGGAAAGAAAATGAGATTATGAGAAACTAAATGTACACCATATTTTAATTGGATGCATCTGTATTTGTATTACTAAGAGAACTGTTATTTATTAAGGATTGAGTAGAATCTTATGGGATATGTGTGCATATTTTATTTCGTTTGACCATAGAATATACTAGACGTAGTGTGTCAATCTAAAGTGCCATGCTACAAAATAAGATTTTTTGACAATATCGAGTTATGAAAGGGATTTCTTTCCACTGTAAATTGTCATTTTATTTGACAGATCTATAATCATGGAATATTGATTTCTAACTTATTTCTTAAATAGCTCTACTCTATTCTTGCTGTTCTCATAAATCAGGAGACCGGGTAGCCTGCAGCTTAGCGAAGATTTGTCTTTTTAACTTTTTTTTCTTGTTTGGGAAATCATTACCACAGGAACACGGTCGTCTTACCCACATCCTTTGTAGGAAATTGTAAACTTTTGTTAGGTGTGTGTGTGAACGTCTGGCAGGGCAGTTTATTGTGTTTATAGCCTTTACTGTCTTTCGGGAAATGAAAATTACCTTAGGATTTCTGATTTGTGTTTATATACTTTGCTCCTTTTGACCACATGATGGAAAATAATATGCAGATGTTATACATTAATCCTTCTCTATTGTTAGCACTTCTTTGTCTCTTCGGGATCTTGTTAACTGTTCCTGCCTGCAAGCAAAAAATAAATGTTTCAACTTGTAAAATATATTATTTGGCTTAAGGGGGACAACACAGCCTGGTTTAGCTGAAGGGAGCAGCTGTCCATACTTATCATTGCTAAATTTGCTCAGCCTTTCTAGTCCTTAGGGATTAAACGCATAACTTAGAAATTAGTCTTCCAAAGATTTGCCTTCTTAGCATACTTTATTGATGCCCATAAACACCATCCTTAAATAACTAATATCTCCCAGTTTTGAGCCCACACTTTTAAAGCTCTGTTAGAGAACTATCATGCTTAAATATTTTAAATATTACTCCTAGAAATTGGAATGAAACACAATTTTGCTCATGTATGCATCATATGTAGCTGCCAACAATTTGTCTCTTATTTCTTTTTTTAATATATTTTTATTGATTTCAGAGAGGGAGAGAGAGAGAGGGAGAGAGAGAGAGAAAGAGAGAGAGCGAGAGACATCAATGATGAGGGAGAATCATTGACTGGATGCCTCCTGCACGCCCCCCACCAGGGATCAAGACCAGAATCAAACCCAGGACCCTTCAGTCCACAGGCCTATGCTCTCTCCACTGAGCCAAACTGGCTAGGGATGTCTGTTATTTCTTAACATTATTTCCTACATCATCACACTCCATCATCCAGGAATGGCATGGCCAGAAATACCATTTGCTACCACTCCTAGGGAGGAGGCAGTAACAGCATCATGGAACAGCCGGGCCCCTCTGGGATTCCCAGGCAACTGCCACAGGAAAACAACGAGCAGGGAAGAGCCCTGAAAACCCAGTGCACCCTGCGCAGCAGGCGAAGCCAGGAGCCCAGCCTCTCTAGCTCTCTGGAGGCACGGTCCTCACACAGCAGCCAGTGGTTCTCAATTACGCACTGGACTCCGCCTGGTAAACCCCAAACTCTCCCCAGTGCAAGTCCTTTTCAGGAAGTCTCCGCCACAACACACTTGGCAATTTGCAGAGCTCTGCTGTGCATGCCAACAAGCAAGTGTTAGTTGGAATTCCCCCAATTTGAAAGAAGGGTATTTTGTGTCCAGTATATCATGTTGTTAAGTTGACCAAAGTTTTGTCATTGTTATTTTTGTTTGAAAAATTACTGTGTAAGCTCATGATCACTTGAGCTTGTTGTGGTTGGGCTGACCCTAGAGTGTATGTTGTAATGCACATACACTGTTGGCTTATGATATTCTACTAACTAGATTTTATGATGCATTTGTATATATTGTGGTTTAACATTCATGCTCCTGTCACTACGCCAGATGTATACACACCTTCTTTCTCAGCAGACCCCCAGGTTTGTTTATACATTGTTTATATATTTGTTTATTGCCAGGTCCTTTTCCACTGGAGAATAGGAATGAGGGACTAAATCAACCATGGGGTTGCCTTCCTATGTCTCATCTGATTTGTCTGACTGAGAGGCTCCAGACACTGCCTTGTTCTTACTCTCAACTCCAGCCTTTAGTATTGACCCAGTGGCTTCAGACTCAGCTTCTAAGAGTGGACACGCCAGCTTACCCCTGCCTTGCTCCCTGGCTTCCCAGTGAATGCCCTATTCTTCATAGCTTATTATTTAATCAAATTTTCTTATGGGCAGAATATCAATCTGAAGCCTGTGTCACTCAAGTGAAGTCACTGGGTAACTGACACAAGCACAGTGATAGATTTTAGTAGCAGGTAAGTGATTGTAAATACCCATTTTTTTTAAAAAAAAAATTTATTTAAAAGATATTTATTGCATTAGTCAACTCAGGTTGCCACTGTAGACTGGGTGGCTTCAAAATATAGGAATGTATTTCTCACATTCCTGGGAAATCCAAGATCAGGGTGCCAGCAGATTTAGTTTCCTGGTGAGGACTCTCTTCTAGACTTGCAGGCGGCCACCTTCACACTGTGTCCTCACATGGAGCAGAGAGAGAGAGAGAGAGAACTCTGGTCTCTTTCCTTTTTAAAGGACACTATTCCCATCATGGGGACCCCCACTGTCAAAACCTTATTGCCTAATTATCTTGCAAAGGCCCCACATATGAACTGTAGAGAGACACAATAGAGTCCGTAACATACCTGTTTACTCAGGACACTTATGAGATACCTCAGAGTGCAAGCTTAGGTAATACCTCAAGTGCAAGACTCCTTGAATTCAAATGAAATGGCTGTTTCATCGCTTTCTTTTTTTGCTCCTTGCTGAAAAAGAAGTCTTAAAATACCTTTTTTACTATGAAGATATGTTTGTATCTTCTATTTTGAGCATTGTGGGAGTATAGCTTACTTTTGAGTGAGCAGTTGCTTACATGATGGAAGTTGAAATAATCTGTCAGACCTCCTACTTTAAAAGTTCTGTTTGCCATTGTACCTGCTGCCACACATTATCACTTCTTTGGATTAAAACATAAGAGGCATCTGCTGATACACAAACATTTCCCAAGATAGGTAACAAGAATAACCATCAGCCTCTAAAATAGGAGCTAGGAAGGAAGGTTGGTACTGAAAGGAATATTCCCACCACGGTTCTAGTTTCGTTTTTATGTTATGCACTTAATGGCTCTATTTGTTTAGAGCTTTGTCTCCAGCTCTCTAAATTCCTCCTGTACTGGTCAGGCTAGCTAGCCGGCTTTTCCAGGGTAAGGCCCCATTGTGTGGCGGTGTCTTAGTGGGATTACCAGTAGGTCCTATAGTACTGATTTATGGTAACCAAACATAGTGATACTGATTTACAAAGTAGAATATTCATGTATTGATTTTCAAAGGGAGCTGTAGTTATCCTAACCCTGTGGTTATCAAGAAACAAGGCTATCTTCCAACTATTATTGGCCAAGGATTTCAGAGGACTTGGAGGGGGTTTGGCAAGAGGTCTTGAGTCTAAGGAGTAGAGGGACTAGAAGGGGCACTTTGGTCATGGGGCCCAATAAATCTCAAGAAACTTGAATGGATCCAAGAAAGTCTTTGGATTTTGGTGTGGAGCAGAGGCGTTGGGCTGAGAACTCTCCCACCTGAAGGAACCCTCCCTCCCCCACTGCTGCTGTCCAGTTCCCAGGGCCTGTCAGCAATATACTTTGGTACATTGGACATAG